AAGTGCCATCTCCTCTATGAAGTATTTCAGTTTATTATCAAAATTAATTGTCCCATACTCTGCCCTGCCTCAATATTTTGTCTAAAACTCTGTTTTAATTTTTTATATGATTAATTATAATCTTGCTTTACTCTATAGCCGTTAAGGCAGTGCCAGAGACCAAGAAGACTTTCAGCTTACATTTACCGAAGAAATTAGCACGGACAATACCGTCTTTCTAGTCTAGCCAATATACATAACAAGCAGGTGCTCAGTAAATGTGAGCTGGAAAGGGGTTAGTGATAATGTACAGACAATGTACTTAGATGCACTCCTTTATCATTTCCTCTCCCACAGTGATCAAGGGAAGGAAGCGCTTATACAGACTTTGCTTCTTTTCAGAAAATGAAGTTTTGCACTAGAATGTTTGCAGTGTTTTGAGTGACACTCTTGATTCTACAAAAGTTTGATTATATAAAATTTGGAAGCTTTCATTGACCTCCTTTCTCAGCTAGCTCCTTCACAACTTCCATACAATATTTCAAAACATTAAAGAATTATCAAGTAAAGTATCTGTATGTGTCTTGAGAAGGAACGAATGGGGATCTTTCTGTGAGGAAATTTTTACACAGGATGTTTTCCCGTCTGCTGAGCACACAAGATGAGCAAGTTCACTTAAGCCGGCCTTGGGAAGTGATTGCATTTCTCAAAAGAGCAGTAAGGACGAGTTGGGGGTACGATTCACAACAAGTAAAGGAGCCCCGAGAGCTGCAAGAGTCTACTTTATGAGCTTTAACATCATACGAGGCTGTTATATTTTGGAGAAATAAACTGGATAATTTAACTTTTAAAATTACATATACTTCCAAACTCAATGCTACAACTCGGTGAAATGGCTCTTTTGTTTTCATCTGCAAAGCAGAGAAGGAAGCAACCTATAATAGCCACAAACAAAGGGAATGTCTCTCTGACCCTCTAAGAATGAGCTCTCCATTTAAAAAAATTAATTATTAATTTCGTTTTTTAGAGCTTTCAGTTTGAAGCGTGGCACAATAAAGAAAAAGAAAAAAAGTCACACTTCTTAAGAATTTAGTTAAGCCAGATGCCAATCACATTCACTTACTGCAGCTGGGTAAAGGACGTTTTTCCTAAGCAACTGTTAGCAAAATGCCTGGAGCATGGTAGATCTCAATAAATATTTAATGAATGAATGGGTGCATTTCATGCTTCATTTAAGGCTCATAATAACGATGGGATTCATTGCCAATGGTAAAAATCTGTGCACTGGGTTGTTAACGTTTGCTGGTGCTGAGAGGGCTGCACTGGCCTCTGGAGGGGCTGATTCTGAGAGGAGCTGTGGTTCTGGGTCTGTGTTCTGGGAAGCAGTGGCAGGAAACCTATTCTCATGGGCCCACGGGGATGACAGTGTGTCTCTCTCGATTCTGAGACAAACTTCATTTTCAGAAAAATGTGAATGTTCTATTGCCAATACTTTCCTCACAACTGTTTAAGATATTTTATTTGGCACTTTATTTGAACTCATACTTGAGTCGTTTTCTGGTAAGGTGTTTTATTATAAAACTAGTGGCCCAGAGCACAAATTCCTGCACATTGAAAGGAAATTAATTAGAAGAAATCTTTTAATATTGCTATTTGCCCTTTCTCTATAATAGAAGTGTCAACCAAATTCACAATCAACAATGACAGATCTGTGCTATTGGCGCCAGCAAGAGCTTTATATGTATCACGCATGCACGAGTCAACTTTGCCTTTTATAGATATAGAATAAACTTGCTTAATTACATCTGCTTTCTGATTTATCTAATCTTTTTCCAGCCCAGTGAAGCACTCAAACTTCTCTTTCAGGTAATTGTTAGCAACACAGCAGTAAAAATCAACATGAAGCAGATTATTATTGTAGATCACGCAGGGAGAACAAAGGGTAAAATATTTAACTGCAGCAGTGTTTGACTGTATTCTGCACAGTGAGAAAACCTGAAGTCATTTTCAAATTCCACCATTTCTTACTTCTTTTCAGCTGGGTCAAGTTTCTAAACTTTCTAAATTTCCATTTTCTGGCTAATGAAAATAAAATAGGATTCCACCAAGTCTGCTGTCTAACTACTCCAGGACTTCTGGGAGGATCAAATGAAGCCAGGGGTGAATTTAGGTTCATTTCCTGTGGCAATTCAATCCATCACAGTGGCCTTTGGGAACACTGCAGATAATGATGCTGAGGTGGCATCCCAACTTAAGGTGGGGAGACTTCAGAGGATGTGGCTGATAATGGAGGAAATAAAATGGAGTTAAGCATTGCTAAGAAAGTCACTTAAAATAGAGTTGGGTGGTCACGAGGAAGTGGGGGCCTATGCATATCTCATGTGTCAGTTCTCAGAATTCCTACTGAGTTGCTAAACACAGCTCAAGGCCAAGCCAAAACCACCTCGAAAAGCAACTGCTGCCTGGACTTAACTTCCTCTTGGTAGTTTCTGCCAACCTCATTTGCATATTACAACTAACCAGTACCAATTAACCTAGCCAGCAATACTTTATTTACATGGAGGACCTAAATGGAAACTACACTTTATTTTTTTTTTCCCCTTTAAAAACCCTGTCTTTCTTTGTTCTCTTCAGAGTGCAATTTGGATGGCTACCTGAATCTGTGCCTACAGGATTGCATTTCTTTTTGCTCAAATTAATGCTTATTATAAACTACTTCTTTGGTTAACATGTCCCAGAACAGGAATTTGTAACAAGCTCCCTAAACTTGTAATGAGCTTCACTAAAATTGTGAACTACAGATCTATATTATGCTACCTCTTTTTAATTTAATCAGTGGCAAGTAGCTCCTAATAGTGTGTACATGCCTACTCAATTTCATACCCATAATAATTATTAATTGGGAACTTATTCTCCAATAGGAACTTTTATAATTATTAACATATATACCTTAATCTTCATTACAATTTTAATTTGTATATGAGGAAACAAAAAAAACAAAAAAAAAAAAAGAGAGGCTTGAAATTCTCAAGATCACAGAGTTAGTAAATATCAAAGCTAGGATTTAGGGCAAGTATTCTAACCATACCTCAAGGTAGTGCTTAAGACTTAAATAACCTATTTATATAGAATCAGGCATTATTTTTTGCTGGGTAATCAAGATTTGTCTCTTGAGCAAAGTTCATCAAGAACATAGCAATTACTATTTCAGAGATATCTCAGACATGAAAAGATAAAAAAGTCATAAGGAAAAAATAAGCATCTGGCAACTAAGGTGGGAGTTGAAGATTAGGGGAATTAGAGCAGAGAGTTAACAAGGAAAGTAATGGAAACATTTTAGATGAAGGAAATCAGCATTGTTTAGTGATTCAAACTGAGAAAGGAAACCAAAACCAAGTGGTAACTAGAAACATTTAAATCTCAAGCAATTGGAGAGACGCTTTAGACATAGGGTTTCACAGTTGATGACCACTTAATATTATCTCTAAGCTATTTCCTATAAATCTTGAACTTTTATTATTTCTCAAACTCAGTGTATAGTCAAGTAGGTTTGAATGTACATAAGATGACACACTCTAAGAAATGTCATGGAAAATGTTTCATAAAGTCCAAACTTCAAAGTCAATAATTTTAAGTGAACTTCTTTTAGATGGTAATGATGATGAATTCAATAATAAACACAAAAATTCACAACTTTTGAATTTTGGAGATATCACTTCTCCTATGGAAGGTTTTAAAAATAAAATATTTTATTTCTTACTTTGACACCCTGGAAGTAAATTATTTGACTACTTAGAAATATATACTTCTAATTTATTTAATTATCTATTTACTCAATAAGTATCGAGCATTTACTATGCAACTAGTACTGGTCATATGGTCAGTACACACACACACACACACACACACACACACACACAGAAAAAGAGAGAGAGAGAGAGAAAGAGAGAGAGAGAGAGAGAGAGAGAAAACTGTATCTTTATTCCAAAATCCACTATAAATTCATGGAGGTCAAGTTTAATACAGGGTTAAGCAGATAGAAGGCTTTGGTAAAAACCCATCAAATACTTTCAAATGTGATCTAAAGAAAAGAAAACAATAAAGTGATATTTTAAAAGTTTAAACAGATGCCATTAAATGCTCTGTCATAAAAATCACTTGTGATTATTCTATTTCATATTAGTAAAAATAGCTCAATAATACTTTGAATATATGTAAGCAGATGAAGGGAAGGTGTATGCAAAAAGTTTTAGAGATTCCTGTTCTCAGTGAGTTTATAGTAGTCTTTGATGCATACAATCATTTCTCAAAAAAAAAAAATTAAAATACAAGAGTAAAGAATAAAAACAGAAAGAAGCATAATATTGTGTGGGGTTCAAAATGAGGAGAGATCACAGCTTGTTGGGGAGAAATCAGAAAATATGTAATTCTGAATACTTTCTGAGCATTTTACATGTGTTAATTCACTTAACCCTCATCATCCCTACAATGTAATAGTTTTACTGATGGGAAAGCTGAGGGCTATGCTTTTAAAGATGTGTACAGGAGACTTTCGGGGCTCAGGACACTTCAGAGGAGTGACATGATTAGGACTGAACCTCAGTAAAACTAATCAAGTCAGTAGATGAGGAAAAATGGAGGCAGAGGCACCAGTAGGGACTCTACGTGAAATGGTTTTGGCAAGAAGTAGTGAGTTCAAAGGCAAAGGTAATGGAGAGGAGCAGTGGATTCAAGGGACACTGTGGAAGAAAACTGTCTATGACTTTATAACTGCTAATGAAGTGGGGTTGAAGGAAGGTAAGATTTAAAGATACCTGGTACTTTCAAAATCAATAATTATTAACCACTAAGTAAAACCTTACCAGATACACCTTTAGAATGCTGCTTTGTATACTCGTGCACACAAAAACTACCCATCAGTGTGCAATATGAGAAAGAACTTATAACACAAAAATCTGAAATTTTGATTCATTTCATATGAATTAATAATATAAAGCATAATGTGTATAAAACAATCTTACCCCTTTGCTGTATTCACTATCTGAATCACTGCTAAGTTCCTCAGTGTTCATAATTTCCAAATCAGATTCTCCAAGTGCAATTGGAACAGTCACTGTGAGGCTGGGATTATCAATAAATGACTGAAATTCACTTGCTTCCATCAAGTATTTGTCCGTGTTCCTTCTAAAACCACTTATTTTATCTTTTTCTTTGTGGAAATCATGATCTTTGTTCATTTCAGCAAGTGTACGGTTAGAGATATCGTTTTCCTTCTTGCTATTTAGATCTCCTGCTTGTCTTGTCGCTTTGGAAATCTTGGGCCTTTTGGAAAATGTCATTAGAACAAATTCACCTAACTTCTGTTTCGTGTAATTTGTTCCTTTCTTAATTCTGGCCACTGCAATCTGGAGGTTGTTTACATCAGTTTCCTCGTCACTTGCTGTAAGATTGTCTGAACTAAATGAGCTCAATAATAAAGCCAGAAATAGATTGAGGACCTGTATCAGGGTGGGGGTGAGAAAAGAGCGAAACAGGAAATAAAGAAAATAAGTACGCTTTTCTGAAATATAGGTAAAAATCTACCCCAGCAATGAAGAACCCTGCACTTCTCTCCACTCATAGAGAAGAACATGTAATAGGGGTAGATGAGAGGTCAGACTTGTCATCAGTCTCTCCTTAGACCAGCACCTGTGAACTCTGGAGCTCAGCTATTCCCTTGAAGGACTAGACTGGCCTAAGGCGAAAAGAGAGCACTCCCTTTGCCAATGTCATTATCACTCCGAAGTTCATTCCTGCAGCAGGAAGCCCTTGGTCAAATTTCCTTTTATGGACCTAATAAGCCCCGCTAATGTTTTCCTGTAATAAATATATATTACCAGTGAGAAACAAGTAGAACAAGAAAACTGTGACTACTGACTATTGCGCCAAATCACTTTTCCCAGAAGATATGATAGATGTTACTTGTTGCAACAAATGGAACATGTCATACTTGCAGACCTCCTGTAATAAAATATTCTGTCCAAGAATTGTGCCAGTGTGCAATTTAATGAAACTTTTAAAGCGGGGCAAAGGGTTTGCCCATTGAACCCAATTCAGATGAGGTAATGGCATTAGGACCTGGGTGGCTTCGATGCCCATGATGAGACTGAAAAGAGGTCGGGACAATTACCTCTGAAGCAAAATCCTGTTTGTGTGCAAAACCATTTCTGTTGTTCTTCCCTGAGGTAGGGTCTAGGTGAACTCAACATTGTGAAAAATAAGGATTCTCACAGAGGACTGAAAATGTGTAAATTCTATTGGTCAGTAATCAACTTTGTAAATTCTGCTTCTTTCATCTTTCATTAGGAAAATCTCATAAAAAATATAAGTATGGGTTAGCTGGCAGGAAAATTAAGACAATATTTCATAGCCCTTCCTGTTATTCCTATATTGAAATAATCAATGTTCCGTTATGATTCAGAATTTTAGTTCTAATTAATTCTAAATTATAAAATAACTTCTCATAACCTCCTATAACAATTTTCCATGGAGAATTTTAAATGTGTGAACTTCTGAGTACATACCACGAGGTTTCCAATGACCATGACCATCATGAAAACAATAAGGCACATGGCTTGACCAGCGACCTCCATGCAGTCCCACATGGTCTCTATCCACTCTCCACACAGCACGCGGAACACGATCAGGAAGGAGTGGAAGAAGTCGTGCATGTGCCAACGTGGGAGTATACAGTCTTCATTGATCTTACAGACACATTCTTTGTAGCTTTTACCAAAGAGCTGCATGCCGACCACCGCAAAAATGAAGACGATGATGGCCAACACCAAGGTGAGGTTTCCCAGGGCCCCCACTGAATTGCCAATGATCTTGATCAGCATGTTCAGGGTTGGCCAAGATTTTGCCAATTTGAAAACTCGGAGCTGAAAGCAAACACAAAGCATAATATTAATTATTATGCTAAGTTTTAATGTTTCCAAGCTTGAATTTTATTCCAAATATTAAATTCTAAAATATTGCCATTACCTAGCAAAAAAAAAAATTGTATTTTTAATTTTCATCTATTTACAATATTTCTGCTATTTTGTTATACTTGCTCCAATATAATGACCATATGGTTTTAAGGAAGTGTGTAATTTTAGTTCAAGATGGCTGTGGATGCCTCTTGACATGGTCTCAGATATAGAGTTAATAATTTATCCTTAATTCTATTTTCTGATACTTTTCATAAAATTTTAATGTGAACATAGGGATAAAGTCTAAACTGTTATAGAAAGAAGCTTTAAAAAGTCTTTACTTTTTTTGTATTCTTGTTATTAGACAACAATTGTTTGGGGAACAATTACTTAATTTTTAATTATCAAATCCATAGATATCAAATATATTATAATGGCTGAAATTCTTTAAACCATAGTTTTTTACTGGGAAATAAATATTGTCCTACAGGGTAAAGATACATTTTCTATTATACTAATATAATATAACTGAAAATATTTTTGTTATATTAATACTTAAGGCCTGGTGCACAAAATTCATGCACAGGGTGGGGGGAGGGGGGGCAGTGTCCCTCAACCAAGCCTTCACCCTCTCCAATCTGGAATCCCTCTCACAATCCAGGACTGGTGGCTCCCAACCACTCGCCTGCCTGCCTGCCTGCCTGCCTGCTTGCTTGCCCCTAATCACTTCTGCCTGCCAGTCTGATCACCCCCTAACCACTCCCCTGCTAGCCTGATGGATGCATAACTGCTCCCCTGCCAGCCCAATTGCCCCTCACTGTCCTCCCCTGCAAGCCTGGATTGTGAGAGGGATCCCACAACTGCCCTCTGCTGCTGGCACCCCTAACTGCCCTCCCTTACCAGACTGGTTGCTCTTAACTACCTTCCTCTGCTGGCCTAGTTGTCCCCAACTGTCCTTCCCTGAAGAACTGGTCTCCTTCAACTACCTTTCCCTGCTGGCCTGGTCACCCCTAACTTCCCTCCCTTGCCAGCCTGGTCACCCCTAACTGCCCTCTCCTGCAGGTCTAGTCATCCCTAACTGCTTTCCCCTGCTGGCCTGTTCACCTCTAACTGCCCTCCCTTGCCAGCCTGGTCACCCTCAACTGCCCTCCCGTGCAGGCCTGGTCACCCATAACTGCCCTCCCCTGCTGACCATCTTGTGTCCTCATGAGGGTGGCCATATTTGACCTCAAAGTGGCGGCAATTTGTGTGTTGGGGTGATGTTCAATTTGCATATTACCTCTTTATTATATAGGATATAAAACTGAACACATCTTTAAGATCCTAAAATTAAAAATCCATGTGGCTTTGAGCTCCTAAAGTGCATTAGCTACTGAATTAATTTTATTTTATTAGATATCAGGACTTAATCTTCTCTTTTGATTCAAACCTCAAAAAATTTTTAAATAATATTAATCCAAAAACAAAGAAAATATTTTTATATATGTAGAATATAAGGTAAGGTTAGTCTATATTTACCAGTCTGAATGATCGAAGAACTGACAAGCCATCCACATCTGATAGGAAAAGTTCTACTAAACTTAAAGTCACAATAATGCTGTCAAAAATATTCCATCCTACTTGGAAATACTCATATGGATCCATGGCGATTAGTTTTAAAACCATTTCAGCTGCAAAAATCCCAGTAAAGACCTAAGTGAAAAAAATATAATGTTTTTATGGTATTATTAGAAGGTATAGAATCAACATAATGATAATAAAGCTTTAGCATTAGCTGTGCCTTGGTCAGTGTGCTAGATACTTTACAAATGTATGTTTTTATCTCATTTAATTCTGAGATTAAATGAGAACGATTCCTCCAGTTCGAATGCAAGCATTGAAGGGGTAAAAAGTGCTAACTCTCCTGTCATCTCTCATTATCCTTAGATAGCACCGTAGAAAAGCATGTAAAATTCCAGATAAGTAAAACTTTTGACAACAGTCACTCTTTGCAAAAAGAATTTATATGGTCAAGAAATTATTCTGGAAGAAAATAAAAAGAAAACATAGATACTAAGATTTTGAACCAGTCTTTATTGGAGATTTGGCTACTCTTAGAGTAATAAAGAATATGTTGACTCACTCTTTAAAGATTTATTGATAGAAGAGGAAAAAGTGTTTAATTGACACAGTGGCAGCTAAAGCAAGACTTTCAAAGCTTTGACACAAAAGTGCATCACAAAACATCATTAATTCATGACATTGGTATCAAAGGACTCACTTAAAAAGGCAATAGTGAAAGACTTGTTCATGTATCATTCATAAACAAAACATAATTTGACTCAGAGAAACTGACCAAGGAAATTTCAAAGGGAAATGGTTAGGTCTATAACTACATGAGTCAATTCTAAAATAATGCAGCATCAAGAAGAAAGTCAGGGACACTCAGACTTGGAACTGTGCTAATAGATAAGAAACACAGTGAATGGTTTTTGTGTTTACAGCGGTGCAGTCAACTCAATAAGAAGGTATTGATTTTCATGATGTAAACCTCCAACAATTAGGAACTAGGTAATCTTGTCTTTTTCTAAAGAGGAATTAAAGGGATGAGGAATGCTAACTCAGAAAGCAAATGAGGTACAAACATTCTGACTTCAAAAATCTGTAAGCAATCTGGAAGAGCAGACTGAAACACTCTTTGGCTTTAAAGATCAACTGGTTTAGGACCAAGGCAAAAGTGAAATTCCCCGATACAGATATTCATAAAGGCATCCAGATGATTCATATTTATGAAGAATCATAAATTGGGATCCTTTGGCCATGAAATAGAACCTCTGCCTGCTTCATGCAGATTGTCAGGGAGTAGTATTTTTGTTTGTTTGTTTGTTTGTTTGTTTGCAATAAGGCATTAATTAAGCTAGAGTAAAAACCAACACTGCACATTTAAAAAATCATTTAGCAATGATTTTCCTAATTGGATCCTATACCTTCCCGAAACCTGCAGGTCACCCTCTCACTTGTCTCCTATGTCCAGTTCAACCATTTTGGTTCCACTGTATTCTTATTCCTAAGGCTTGCTTCTGCTGATTGATTGAAAGCATGATGATAATGATGATGATAGTAACCACAGGTTTAATTTGCTGAGTACTGATTGTATGCCAGGCTAATAAATTAAGTAGAAAGTTTAATGCTAACCCAACAATGTGATAAATGAATTATCATCACCATTATACTATAAATGAAGAAATAATATTATTTTATAAATGAGGTATTATATTCTACAAATGAAAAAATTAAAGATTATAGAGATGAAAGTATTTGTATAAGGTCATATAACTAGTAAGAGGCAATATCAGCATTCAGTCCAATATTTTGGGATTCTAAAGGCCTAGACACTTTAACTGTTATATCAAAACAAAGCATTCATAGTTTTTCTGAAAATATGTGGGGTATGTACTTTCAAGGAAGTTACAATGATATTATAAAATGGGTAAGAAACTATCAAATTTTCCAAGTATTAATTTCAAAACACATACTGACAGAATTAACAACCCACTAACAACTCCAAAAATGGTGACTTTTTATGAAAACAGTGTTATTTATAAACCTCAACACTATTGCAAAACTATTTAAAAATAAGATCTATCACCAGAAACTTGACTCTGTACAATGATTCATATTGTGAATTCTGAATTTGCATAATTACCTGGCTGTGTATCCTTCCAACTTAAAGAACAAAACAAAACAAAACAAAACAAAGCAAAACAAAAAAAGATTTCAAGTGACTCACCAAGTTGCCCACAGTGAGCACGTTTTTGAATTCTTCAGTCATTGGGTGATGCTCCATCGCCATGAACAGTGTGTTTAACACTATGCAAATGGTAATAGTAAGATCGACAAATGGATCCATCACAATTACATACATAAGCTTTTTAAATTTTATCCAGAATGGAGAGCAATTCCAGATCAGGAATGTGTATGCAAATCTGTACCACCAAGGTGGACATTTTTGTCTGGACTCTTCAAGTTCTGTGAGGAACAAAACAAGAGAACATGAAGTCAATCATTTGTATGTCTTATTCCTAAATAAATCAGCAGTGCTCTTCTACAAGTCTCTGGCATATACTGTACAAATTGAACAGTACTTCCATGAAATCATAGCATTATTACATAAAATGTAACATTACATAGCATTATTGCATAAAGATGTAACAATATAATATTATTTTAGAAAAATGTATTATAATAACCCCATCAGATGCTCAATTTCTAGACCAAGCCTAAGGGAGAGGAAGGCAGTGAATTTAGTGACTGAAAACTGTTACAGCATCTCTCAGAGAAACATGTATATAATATGTGATGGTAAATAAGACAACCGAAGTTTTCTTAAGGGAAAATATATATTTTCCACCGATATACCTACTTCCCTCTGCATCCTTAAGTCCATGAAAACAATAGGATAATTATACTGTCTCCAGGAAAAGCTCTTGCTAGTTCACAGGTGAAAACAATCCCAGAACAAGGAGACTGGAAATAATTTATGGAGTGACTCATACAATTGGTATTTCATACCATTTATCCCACTCACTTGCTTCTCACCTTAAATTTAGGAGGTGGGTGGAAACTTTGTCGGTGAGGTTATAGCCTTTGGAAAAGGTAGGATCTGGAGCATATTTTTTGAGGGGGAAATGGGAGCCCAGCACATTATAAAAATTGTCATCCTCTGACTTCCTTCTAATGCTTATGAGGGTTTAACCACTATTGTTGACATTATATTCTCTAACCTGCTTTTTCTAGAGCCTTTTCACCATAATTTTAAGAGATATCATGGCACATGTTAACATTTTACCATTTTATAGAATGTGCTCAGAGGAAGAATTTATCTATATCTGGAAGTATGTATCATTTTTTTTTTTTTTTTTACATATTAGAGAGATGATAAATTCAGAGAGAGTAGGTCAAGTTTCTAAATTACATAATGGGAGAACCACACAGCTCTGGGTTAACTAGGTTCTTTATTAATTACCATCAAGCTATTTATCTTTGAAAGGTTGTATTATCCAATACCTGTCCTTAATCACAAATAACTTTGCCCATTTTAAGCACACAAAAATGCTCCCATTAGTGACCATTGCTTATTTTTCCATTGCTTATGACCATTTTTAAAATTCTTTGAATTCTTCCTAAGAACTTCATGTACTGACCAGGATGTATTTGAATTTCATTTGAAAAGCTGTATACCGAAGAGAATACTATTACCTACCTTCCACAGTGTTTGTCAGTATGCTTGCTCTACTCATCGCTCTTTCTCGGAGACGGGGATCATTCATCATCTCTTCGGAAAGGAGATAAGAACTGGAACGTCGTTTTTTATGTATTTGGTTGGTTGCACCCTAAAATTATGATGAATTAAAGTTTAAAATACAGAATTATAATAAATTATAATAAAATCTTGCTTACGTAGCTGAAATGAGTGATTTAAAGTAGAGACAAGATTGCTCTGCTAAATCCTGGCTCTGCTACTTACTGGCTGCATCACGGGAGAGTTATGTGACCTCTCTCTGTCTCAGTTTCATCCTTAGTAAAATGAGGAGAATCATAGTACTTATATTCTTGCTATGAGGAACAAAGGAATTAATTCAGAAAATAAAAAAATTAAATAAGCTGCTTTTATTATTAGACTAGAGGCCCAATGCATAAAATTTGTGCAAGAGTAGGCCTTTGCAGTGGTGGCTGCCTGGATCCCTCCCTCGCAGCTGCAGCTGCAGCCAGGGCTTCATCCTGGAAGGACATCTGGAAGGACATCCAGTCTAATTAGCATATGATGCTTTTATTATTATAGATTACTATTACCACCTCTATCTTTCTGCTCTCCAATGAATTCAGGTTGTTTTACCATGTAAGAGTCTTATATGAAAACAGCCCAAAACAAGTGTTCTTGGGGTGTGTGTGTAAAGGGAGAGATTCTCAGTATTCTCTGATAAATCTCTTTAATTATTCTTTGTGGAGGTAACAGCATTAATGGAGGTGATTATAAGGATTGTTTCTTATTGACAAGGAAGAGCTTATCTGAGCATCTGATGATAAATTCCTTAGTGTGAAGAGGACAATTAAGACTGATGGGAACTGTAGCAAAATAGAGAATTTAAGCTCCATCTAAAAGTGGTGACCACTGTTTAGTTCAAAAGATTGCTGCCATGCAGGAATATGAGCTCCGTATTACCAGGTATACTCATTTTTTAATGTGAAATACCTTATTTCTCAATCTTGGCAACTAGTTCAAAGTTAAAACACTATGCCAGTTCAGAGCAGGGCAACAATACAAACACACATGCTCACACACATACATATATGCAAGCAGTTATACAACTCTCCATTTATCATCACTCAATCCCTCTATCAATCTATCTGCTTGTGTGTTACGTATATATGTGTATATATACATACACACACCATTTACAAACATCTGAGTATAGTTGTAGTATTGTAAATTTGTAGAGTTGTTTTGATACATATATATGTATATCAAAACATAGACACACAGGCATACATATGCCCATGTGTGTATGTATGTATGTATGTATAAGTATATGCATGTTCACAGACATATGCATATCTACAAGTGGCTTTTTATGGAGATCTCTCCATCACCACGTTTTCTCTGATAGTTTCCACCTCCTGACTTTCCAGAAGCAGAGACTTCCTTTTCACCAAGTCAGGACAAGAATTGGTTTCATCAACAATTGGAATGAACAATTTCAATTGTTTAATCACTAATTCAAATGAAATGAAAGCATTTCATTTAAAAACATGTAATGATCTTCAAAACGAATATAAATTTTTTACAGATAATATACATCAAAAAGCAAAACTCAACAAGGACCTGCTTCCACAGAAACTGAACATGCTTGTGTGATAAGGAACACTGCCCTGACAGAGGGCCTCAAGCTATGTCATGCAGCACAGAGGTCACAGGTGACCTAAAAGCACATGCATTCATTCAACCTGAAATATGTGTGGCCATAGCTTTGATGGAACTTGATTCTCACTTGAAATGCTACATTGTCTGCAAATAGTAATACATGAATAAGTAGCATGAGTTCAAAGCTTGTTAGGTTAGTCAGAGACCTTGCTGGTATTAGTGAGGCTATGAGTGGCGTAAAGAGGTAAGCTGGAAACTCCAGAAACTAGACAGAACTCACTCTCAAACCTAATCAGACCCTTTAACCACTTAGTGATCCATAAACTCCAGAAATGGTTGTTTTGGTTTTCTTTTTAATGTGTGTGTTTGTATTAATGTGTGTTCTGATGTTATATTTTTATTCATGGACTCCTGATCAAGGAGTTTTTTTGTTTTGTTTTTTGTGTTTTTTTGTGGGTTTTTTTTTCCCATTGAAAACAGTAAATTTCATTTATGTATGGGGGGGGGGGCAGAGCTGTTTTATTTCTATGTTACCACTAAGGTGGTTTAGAACACAAGCGCTGAAACAGAGGGCCTCTGTTTGAACTTTTCCACTACCATTTATTAGCTTCATTTCTCTGTGCCTCGGTTCCCCTTTGTCAAGCAGGGACAATACCATCACCTCCTAGGGCTGTTGTGAATACTAAGCACATGTTTCTATTCTTATTACTATTATTAACAACTCAAATAAGATCCCTTGCATTAAAGTATAATACATATTAAGTATTAACTTGAGAAAGATAGAAGGTTCCAAATACTCCAAATTTCCTTACAAAAATGAGACTTGTTATCACTAATATGATCAGCATTATCATTGCATTTTCTATGCTGACACATATAATTTATAAATTATTTTATAAAGGGACTAGAGGCCTGATGCATGAAACTCGTGCGTGGAAGTGTATGTCCCTCAGGCCAGCCTGCACCCTCTCCAATCTGGGACCCCTGCAGGTATGTCAGACTGCCCATTTAGGCCTGGTCCCTCCAACTTCCCTCCTCTGCTGAACATCTTGTGCTCACATGGGGGCAGCCATTTTTGACCACATGGGGGCAGCCATCTTGTGTGTTAGAGTGACAGTCAATTTGCATATTATTCTTTTATTAGATAGGATGATTTATAATCTTCAAGTATAATAATAATAAAGTACCTTTTTCAAAACTGGGGTTTTATAGTCAATCATTATGTTGTGCACCTGAAACTAATGTTAATATATATCAATTTTACCTCAACTTTTAAAAATGGGGTTTTGAATATCTTTGATTTATATGCCCATAGCACACAGTAAATGGATTATGTTAGTGAGTGAAAGGTGTGTTTCTACCGAGTATTGCAAAATGCAGAGCCATTCGCAGGGCAGAGAAGACTGACTGATGCAAGACTAGGGCCGAGCCATGCCTGAGCTATTGAAAATGTCCTTACACTGTCATCAGAAGTTGCCTTATCTATTATCACCTCTGGCAGGAGCTGTCCATTGGGGAGCATGAGGGCTGAGGGTCCATCAACCAGGGAGACCACACCGTTGCAGTCCACTGCACTGTTCATCTTCCCGTTCACCGGCAGCATTGGGGGGGACCTACTGGCTTGGCTGATGTTGCTGCTGCGCCGCTCCCGAGGCCGGTGGGGCACGAACAAGGAGCCCCTCCTGCTCTCGTTGTCTTCAAAAATGCTGTGCTCGTCGTCGGCAAATTCAGTCTCGGACCCAATATCCTTTCCTCGGACCATGAAACTAAAAAGACTTGCTCTGCTGCTGCGCCTTTGAGGAAACAAGGACTCACGGACGCTCAGCGGTGACTGCAGAAAAAAGAAAAGATGACACGTATCTGCTGAAGCACCTGAAACAGAAGTGCATGTCGCGTCATTACCATCGAGGCCATTGACCTGAGGGCCAGCAGCTCGACATTGGTTGGAAAGAGACATATTTCAAAACAAAGCGATTAAGCAAGGAGACAACTTCTTCCAACCAAGGGACAGAAAGGCTGGGAGAATCCACCCTTTCAGAACCAGGAAAATCACTTGTTGCAGCCCAGCTCCTCTCCCTCCTATTCTGGCCTGGAGTGACCTGGAGTGACTTGGGGTAGACAATCTCTTAAGCCATTCATTTTGCTCTAAAGGACATATTACTTCAAAAAATAATTTGACATTGATATCTGTTATGCAGATTTTAATCTATCACTTCTAAAGCTCTAGAAGTATTAAACTCTCCTGATTTATTTATAAACAGTATGCTTCTTTGCATTCCATTGCTTGGAACTCTACCTTATATATTGACAGCTCAGTTAAGGCATTTTAAGAAAGACCTTTTAATACTAGTAAGCTTACAAAAATCAAAAAATATTAGATCTTGGATAAGAAGTTGCCCAATACCAAAGAGGGGAAAAGTCACATTTATATGACTCATGTCCAGGATAAACATTCAGTTTGATGTGTTTGTAAACCAAACTGAATGCATTTTCTTTGGAAGAATCTAATTCAATAAATGTCAGTTTTTACTATGTAAAGGACAAAGTGGCAGGCATAGGGAGTAACAAGGTCTGAAGGCAGGGACTATTTGTTTTGTTCCTATGCATATCTGACAGGGTCTTGCAGGCTTAACACTTAGAAGCTGGGAAATTGAAATGAAGACATAGAAGAGAAAAATAGTCTGAAAAAAACTGATTGAGGGCAGTGGTGAGGACAAAGGAAAACTTGGGGGATGGGTGGCACCTAACTAATGGGTGGAGAATAGGTAGCACTATGCCAGAAGGAAAAAAAAACATGGAAGCAAAGTATCCCACTTAGAGAAAACTACATGTGTTAACTTACAAAGGCATGGAAGTACAGGGCATGTAGTGAGAGTGGAAAATCATGGTGGACTCCATGTACCTGAGGGTACAGTACGGAGAGCTAGGAGATGAGGCTGAATATCATGTGGGTGTTGTTCTCTTGGCAGTAGTTATTCAACAGAGTTTTTTTTTTCTTTTTCTTTTTTTTCCTTTTTCTTTATTTGATTTCAGCAGAGGGACAGCTATGATTTAGAACAATTATTTGGAGATATTGTACAATGGAAAATAAAAATGTCAAAGAGAATTGAACCTATGGTTTATCTTGGAGATTTGCAGGCAGAGAGACCTGAAATATGGAGGTTTCAGTGGAAAAAGGAAAAAAGGAAAGATAAATTCCACAGGAACAGAAATAACAGCCTATGGGACTAGGTGTTAGTGTCTTTCCGCTTAGGTAATTGATATTTGGGTGATATATTACCTACAGTAAGGAAGAAAAGAGAAAATACTAGTCTGAGGTTAGCTTATAAGCACTATAGGCATTACAGACTGAATAAAAATGAAATTATTTCATTTCTACAATGGTTCTCACTAGTATATTGTGTTGAACATGTATTTATTGGAGAAGATATGACAATTCCAAAACTATAATTCCTTACAAACTAAATGGAAAACTATGTACATCCATATTCTTCCCATAAATACCCAGCAATCACTGAAAAACATACCAATGAGGTCACTCACTCTCCTCTCCGGAGGCCCCTTCCCTCAGAACAGAGCATTCTGCTCAATGATCCTAACTGGTGACATGCATTTGATAACGTCAGCGGTACCTGATTAGGGGTAGACAATCTCTTTTCTCGGGCTCGCCTGTGGCCTTCAACACCAAGGTGGGAACTTCTTCTCCTGATACTCTCTTCTGATTCCGAGTTGGACAATTTCTCATCATCTCCCTTTTCTCCCCCACTGGAGAGCTTTTGATTTTTTTTCTTTCTTCTGTTTCTTCTTTCTTTTGCGCTTTTAGAACTCAGTTTAGATGTTTCAGAAGAACTCTCAGAGAGGCCCATGATCCGGCTTCTCCTCCTACTTGTATATTCGGCTGCTGCCTCCAATAATGCCTGTTGGATCCAGATATCACACATACAGTGAGTCATTTCCAAAGTTGGGGAAATGTGACGATGGGAAACCTCTCTACCATGAATTTAATTATATTGTGCATATAATCATGTGCCATGTATGAGAAGAAATGTCATTTTCTTAACACTATGATCAGAGATCTTACTAGTACAAAGTATGTATTCATTGCTTCTCCTGAACTATAACAATGTGCAGTTCTGTTCTGGAATTAAACTATTACATATTATTACTATATTTATAGTAAAGCAACTTTACATAATACATACGAAAGTTTTACTCAGTAATTCTGGAACATAAAGCATAAACCATGTGATAAGGTAATTTGCATATTTTGTTCAGATAATTAACGCAATAGTATCAAAAGAATCAGGCCCTTTATAGCTTAGTGAAGAATAAGTTATCTGAAAATTAAAATTATCACAAAATAATATCCCAAGGAAATGAAAGAGACTTCTAGGAGTGCCCTAGGAAATTCCTGAGATAATCTTTATAGAATAAAAATCCTTGTAAAATTTTGGAAGATATATTGTGAATAAAAAATAAAAAAACACTAATAATCCTACACCCCCCAAAATAACTGGTATTACTATTTCTTCCAGTCTTTATATACATAATTTTTAAAATTTGTCTTATATTCAATTTTATATTCTACTACTTAATACATTGTTATAACAATATGTTTTCCTGTCTTAATATTCTTAAAACTCATAATTCTATGGTTCAAAAATATTCTAAGGTACAAAAGTATCATAACCCTCTTAACCATTTTCTAATTTTTGAAAATGTAAATGCTTTATAATAGTTACTATTATTAAAATACTGCATGAACATTTTTTCTGAATCAAGTTTCTCTGCATTATAGGTTACTAATCTCTCTTCAATAGGTTTGATTCCTTGAAGAGATTTAACTACGTAAACCATCAAATGAGTGTTAAGATTTGCAGAATACTTGAAATTTTAGTTCTTAGTACAAACTTTCCCAAACTTTTCCACTAAATTACCCCTTTAGAGAGAGGATTAAGGAGAAATCCTTAAAAATTTGTGACTTAGCCCAAAGTGGTCACAACCATAAGTATATATTTTTTTAATAGTGCACATTTTTATTTTAAAAATATTTAAATTAAAAAAAAATTGGTACCCATTTTTCTTTCTACCCATAGAGTATCTGTTAACATTAACATTAAAATAATTTCTTCTAAAACTTTCTGAACAAATTTTCTGGAGAAATACATCATGTTTTAGGACTTTGCATAATGCCCAGACACTGAGAAATCACAGGTAACAGGTTTAGGAGAAACGGAACATTCTCTGTGCTGATTATGGGAGAAAGTGGACTGGGTCAGATGTCAATTGTAACTCAATCCAGAATTGGTTCCTTCGACCGCAACAGAATGAAGACTCAGTTTATATAAAGGAATCCATTAGGGAAGATTGCCCTGGGGAAGGTGGAGGATAGACCACAGGGCCTCTGCGTTCCCTCTGCACTTCTACTTCTAGGAAGAATGTTAAGCCAAGTAACAATACCTCAGCTTCTTCTTGCTCTTTTCTAAGTCGATCTAACATCTGTTGAAATTCTAATTCTTTCTGCCTGGCTTCTTCGATATTTGCCTGGTTCTGTTCTTCGTAGGCCATGGCAACCACAGCCAGGATCAAGTTTATCAGATAAAAGGAGCCCAGGAAAATCACCACAACAAAGAAGATCATGTATGTTTTCCCAGCAGCACGCAGTGTCTAGGGGAAAATGGAAACCATTATTTTAGTAACAAAAAAGGTATTTTTGGTAAGTGGATTCAACTTGAATGACATATTAAGCATGAGCAAATTGGGAAGTTCTGCATAATCTCATGTTACCAAACAATAAAGGGATAAAATTATATCTTCATGGAAAACAATCAGTATTAAAATATATACTTTTTAGTATAAAGTATATAACAATTAAACTTGTACTGAAATTAGATATAATTCTTGGTTATTATTAAGTAGAATAATCCTGAAAAAATTTTCTCTAGTCTAAAAATTACTCAAAAATTAACTGCTTTGTTCATTTTTAAATTATAGGACTAGATAAATAGTTCCTTTTAATTTTAAAATTTGTTCTTTAACAAGAAATATTACCGATGATGCATTTTGATCATAAAAGATAGATACCATCATATGAACTTATTTACCCATATTATTCTTATTTTAATTAACATTTACTAAAAATTTAACAATGAAAATGGTAAAAATAATTCAAATGGTACAGATATTAAATGAAAAATAAGTCCTATCTCTGATGCCTAGTTACTCAAATCCTTTTTCTATCAGTTAATGTTGTCTTGTCTCGGATAAATTCTAAGTATGTAGAGTAATTGTTAGCTCAACAGGTATATTCACTTGAATTTTCATAGTAATTCCCATGCTACTCTCTCCAGTGGTTCCCAGGAATGTCTTCCTCTACATATCTTAGACAGTATTTCTCTCTTGATTTATATTTTGATCTCTATCATTCTAACAGGTAAGAAAACCTATGCCACTTTTAATTTGCTGAAAAGGTGAATATCTTTTTGCATACTTAAAAGTCATTTATATTTATTTTTTCCTTTATATTTGTATTTCCTTTCTATATTCATTTATAATATTCTCAGAAATTAAATAAATATAAAACAGGCCAAAAGAAGAATCTGTGGAAAAGTGAGAAAAGTTTTGGTTATCCTGTGCAAACTGACCAACCAGAGGAATGACTGGATTGGGGGGGATGGGGGAGGCGGGGCCGGCGGGCAGGTGATGCCAGGCCAGCCAAGGTGGATGCCAGTGGGCAGAGGAAGAAGAGGGCGATCAGGGGGCAGTGACTGGCAGAGGTGGAGGGGCGATCAAGGGATGGGGCTGGCCTCTTGATAGCCACTCACTGGCCAGTGCCATCCCCCAGTCGCCCAGCCCATCACCTCCTGCAGAGAGAGGCCAGATTGTGGCTTGGGGGTGTGGGCCTAAGCCATCAGCCAAACATCCCCCAAGGGCTCCTGGTCTGTGAGAGTGTGCAGGCTGGGCCGAGGGACCCCCCCAAGAGCATGCATTTTCATGCATTGGGTCTCTAAGTATTTATAAATCAGAATAGTCATTTTTGGTCTCCTTCCTCTTGGGGAAAAGATAGAGCCCAAAGGCCCAAGAGGATCACATTGAAGTCAGGGGAGATGACCATGTGAATTAACAATTGCAGTACAAGAGATAGATGCTTTAGACTGAAGAATGTGCAAAGGGCATGCAGGTCTAGAGCAAGGAGCCATTGACTTAGAAGAGAATGTAGAGAAGTGAACTGAGTCTTTAACTCTTATGTTAATTTTCTATGGCTGCCATAGCAAAATGCTCAGACAACAGAAATGTACTTCTCACAGTCTGAAGGCTGGAAGTTCAATGTGAAAGTGCTGGCATGTATGTATCTCCCGAGGCCTCTTTCCTTGGCTTGCAGATAGCCACCTCCTCACTGAATCCTCTCATGGCCTTTTCTCTCCACGTGTGTGTATTTCTGGTGTCTCTCTTGCTCATGTCTGAATCTTCTTTTCTCAGGAGACCACAGTCAGATTGGATCATGATGCACCCTAATAGACTAATTTTAACTCAATTGCCTCTTTATAGGCTCTAGCTCCAAGTATAGTCATTCTAAGGTACTGGGAGTTAGGATTTCAACACATGAATTTGGAGGCATCCAATTAAGTCTATAACAATTGTATATGGGAGTTCAAAAAATAAAGCATGGTGAGCATAGGACAGCCTGGCTGTTGGGCATTCTAAGCAGAAAGGTACATTAGGAAAGCATAGTTTGTTCAAGAAAGATAGGAGAGAATATTACAATATATTTCTTGCTATTTACTTAGGATATTATGGGATACTACATTTACAAAGGGGGGCATGAGAGATTTAGAGATCAAATAAGTCCAGGAAAGATAGTAAAGTAATTTATCATTCAAGAACTATCCATTTAATAGTGCTAGAAGCAGAAAATGTTTAATTTTAGTAATAAGACAATAGAGTTTTCTCCACTCTAAACTGAATAAGACATCACATATTTAAAGCAGGCAAGAGCCACACATCAGATTATGCAAAGGATGTTTCTCTTGGCACTCACTCACCTGTTGGTAAAGGTTTTCCCAGTAATCCTGAGTCATTAGCCTAAACAAGGCTAAGAAGGCCCAACCGAAAGTGTCAAAGCTCGTGTAGCCATAGTCTGGGTTTCTGCCCCCTTTCACACACACGTACCCCTCTGGACACTGACTACATGAGAAAAGGAATAACAAGTCAGAGTGGCTTCAGAATACAAGCTAAATAGTCCTACAGAAATGTGGGAAACTTAACCAAAAACATATTTTTTTTGGAGTTAGGAGGAACTGGGTTTGAATCCTACCCCTACTATTTGCTGTTGGTAAATTTGTCAAATTACTTAAAATTTTCCAAGGCCAGTGCCTTCTTTTTGTGTAAACAAGATAATAACACCTATCTCAAATGGTTTAGGTTGTTATTAAGTTTAAAGAAGATAATGTACGCAAATTACCTAGCCTAGTTCCTGCACATAAATAGTAGCTGCTATTACATCATCATCATCATCATCATCATCATCATCATCACTATTAAAACTTGGAAACATACAACAGATGTTAAATAATAATTATTGTATCTTTAATGACCTCTAACAAAAGTATCTCTCCTCCCACCCACACACCTTTATTATTCATGGAGTGAATCACAATAAAGAATAGGCAAAGCAGCTTGGCTGGTGTAGCTGGGTGGTTGAGCATCGACCCATGAAACAGGAAGTCACTGTTCGATTCCAGGTCAGGGCACATGCTCAGGGGACAGGCTCGATCCCCAACAGGGGGCATGCAGGAGGCAGCCAATCAATTATCCTCTCTCAACATTAATGTTTCTATCTTTTCTCCATCTCCCTTCCTCTCTCTACAAACAATAATGTGTGTGTGTGTGTGTGTGTGTGTGTGTGTGTGTGTGTACTGAGTGGCCAGATTATTATGACTTCTGAATGCATAATAATATGGCCACTCAGTGTATATTCTATATAATAAAAGGCTAATATGCAAATTGTCCCCTAGACCAAGAGTTTGACCAGCAGGCAGGCCGGCCAACTGCCCATGTCCCCTCCCCTTGGCCAAGCTGGCTCCACCACACCCATGCATGAATTCATGCACCGGGTCTCTAATATATATATATATATATATATATATATATATATATATATATATATATATATAGAGAGAGAGAGAGAGAGAGAGAGAGAGAGAGAGAGAGAGAGAGAGAGAGGGAGGGGGGCAGGTTATTATGCATTCAAAGATCATAATAATCTGGCAACTCAGTGTATTATATATATTATTGTAAAGAATATACATATATATGTAAAGAATAGTCAAAACATAGCAATTGTGTAAGATTTGTAGCCTTAAGACTCTTTTCCTTTCTCAAACTGGTGGGTTGGTATGTATTGTATGATGCCAAATAAACAGTGTTCTGAGGTATCTTTGGGAGCAGCCATCTCATCATCTCTATTTTTATGTTTCCAGGGCATGTGAAGAGATCTATCTGGGCAGAAGGAGAATAAATACAAAATGCTGCAGCAGAAACAAAGTTGGTGTGCAGGAGAAATAGCAAGGTGGGTATCTGCATTAATATGAGATTCTTAAAATATCTTTACCCAAGCCCATGGGATGCTTTTATTTTTTAGAGTGCCCCAACTGTCACTGCATTCAGTCACCTATGAGTCACACTTGATTGGAGAATGAGAAGAATTTGAGGATGGAAAGAAAATTGGATTTTCTTCAGAAAGAAGCAAAGCTGGAAAGTAACCCACCAAAGTTTGGGAGGGTTTACTGGAAATCTTCTTTTCTATTGTCTTAAGGCTTATACGATGTATATCTTGTTTTTATTTAAACACTACCTCCAATTTTTACGTTTAAAGGTATGCATAACTAAGAACCAAATAAAGTCTGAACTCACTGTGGGGGCAGAAAGAATTAAATGATGCCATGAAATATGTAAAAACAATATGAATCAAAGGTTCTTATCAGTAACATGAATGAGTATATTTTTTCTTTATTTTTTTTAAGTCTTTACACTAAAAATAAATACTACATACCCTGCGTCTGAGCTGTTACCACAAAGGAGAGCATCTTTAGATCCCTCCAAGAAATAAAAATAGTCTGTGTGGGAAGAAATTGAATAGTAAAAGGTTACGGAAGGTAAGCTGCAGCAAGCAAATTAATTAATATAGACATTCACACACATTTAGGTGTATGCTTATATGTATGTATTTATTTCTCATATAGTCTCCCTCAAATATTTATTGATAAGCTCTTATGGGCCAGGCAATGAATGGTAATAAACATGATAATAAACATCTCCTCTCTAAGCCTATATTTCAGAAGAAAATCAAGAATAATGTATAGGACTGAGACAAATGATTATGGAATAATATTTTACTATTGGTTTAGCTGTCCCTCATGTGTAAAGGCAATATAAAGACACATTACAAAATTCAGGGACTCTTTTTACTGTTTTTGAAAAAAAAAATTGCTTGAGATCATTTCAGAAGGTTTAAAAAGAACTCATTCAAATTCCAAACTCAGTAATGTAACCAAGAATAAAAGGACTAATAAAAAAAAAAAAAAGTGCCAAAACCGGTTTGGCTCAGTGGATAGAGCTTCCGTCTTGAGGACTGAAAGGTCCCAGATTTGATTCCGGTCAAGGGCATGTACATTGGTTGCAGGCACATCCCCAATAGGGGATGTGCAGGAGGCAGTTGGTTGATGTTTCTCTCTCATCGATGTTTCTAGATATCTATCTCTCTCCCTTCATTTCTGTGAAAAATCAATAAAATGTATTTTTAAAAAAAGTTGTTTAAATAAAAGTTGTACATTGATTCACAAAAGAGTATGTAAATGTAAATAATTTACCATAGATGATATATTACTTTTACGGCATATGAACTGAGGAATAAAATTCTTTGGATATTGGAAATAAAATGTAAGATCATATTAACAAAAATTAGAAACTGACAAAATAAAGATAAAAATAAGAAAAATATGCTAAATTCTTCATCAAAAGCCTGCAGTAAAAATAAATAAATAAATAAATAGATAAATAAAATTACATTTTACTTGAAAACCTTCCATTTTCTTGTTTCAGATTATATATTTTTTGGCTTTATTTACAGTTTTTAAATATATTAGCTACATTTTATTTGCTTTCATCTTCTCCATTGAGTGGACAAGTAAAGTAAAAAAAAAATGATGTATAGAATTCTTTATTATCTAAGGAGAATCCTGACCTTACTTCCTGATCTCCTTCCAGCACAGGCACTTACATTTTAAGGTTTCTTGATTTACAGCCCACTCTGGGTCTAATGATCTTTAAGGTTTATTCGTTCATGCAGGCAACATCATACAGACACATTGCAAGTGTGAGAAAGCACAATCTTGCTAGATCACATGCATTCTCACCCAAACTTGAGAAAAACTATATTGGGGATTAATTGTTTAGAAGACATAAAAGTTGTGCTTTCTGTAACATACTCTAAAATATACTTGTGAATTTAGCAGACTTCTGAGACAATGTGTGTAGATCAGCTGATATACCTTTAGAACTAGCTCCGATAATTAAACTTTGGTATGATGCATTAATGAGACTGAAGAAGCCATTAGCAAGAACTGTAAAATCCGTCATTGGTTATAATATAAGGGTAGTGCTGATAAATCTGAGTAAATGGTTTTGCTATATGGGACTCTTTAGAAATACTATTAAGACATTCATTTTAATATGTAGTAATTGATATATCACTATATTATAACTAATGTAAGTATATCATACTATTATAGTTGTTAAGTATAATATACATATACAATATAATTATATTCTCATATAAGTTACACTATAAAATAAACATAGGTGGGGTTATATAATAAAATTAAATACATAAAAATATATCTTATGATGAAATGTAATAATTAATAGTATTAAGACATAGCTAAATTGATTTCTCTAGAGCAAATTTATTCTTTTTTTAAATTTTACAGAAACTAAGAATTATGAAAGTACCTCATGCTTCCAATAAAAGGACTGCTAAAAAGCTTTGAACCAGGGAGAGTGATTAAAAATATAATATGATACAAATTCACACTATAGCAACTTTCGACATATTTGAATAATTTTGAAATAACTAAAATGAAAGCAACAGTTAGCCTTCGAAGAGATCAGTGCTTTTGGCTTTATTTCAATCTCTGAACCACGGCAGGGACAGTCGTACCTCTGTAGAGCTCTTCATCAAGGTCGTCCAGCATGCTTGATGTTACGTTTTCAAGGGAAGCCCGCAGACATTTGTGCTTCAGGCTGCCCATGAAGAGCTGCAGGCCGATCAGCGCAAACACGCTCAGACAGAACACCGTCAGGATCATGACGTCTGAGAGCTTCTTCACAGACTGGATCAGGGCCCCCACGATGGTCTTCAGGCCTGAATGCAGAGGGTGTGTAAAAAGGTATTCATAATGAAATAAAGTTTCTGAATGAGAAACAGACACAAACACAGCTTTCCTGGAAATGCATGCATTATATCAAGTCAGTGACCTTAAATAGTCTAACTCAAAAAAAGCCCATGAGGCCAAAAAAGTGGATTTGCTGGTTTTTATATATTGTTTCTATATATTATTACAAACAATTAGAAATTGTAAAATATTTCCAATGACAAACCAAACTGTCAAAATAAAAAATTTGGTTGCTCAAACCATATCCACATTCACTTGTAAAAAAATAAGTTTTTGAAAGTGTCAATTCAGTAAATTCTTGTCAAACAAACCATTTCTCTATATACTAGTACGAACACAAAGAGGCTGACTTGCAATGTATAGTGACAACTTACTAATTTTCAGTTAAGAAATGGTTTGTTGAGGAAAGATAAAAGAAATATGTCATGCAATACCTTCATGCTGATATTTTCTCTCTCTTTTCTTAACTCTATGAAAAGCAATGTAAACAAATTGAAATTTTCATTCCTGAATCAGTCAAATGGAAAATGAACTGTTAAGACAGGAGAGAAAATTTCAAGTTGAGATGTGAGCCACATGGCCATCTTCATCCTCTAAGACCCATGCAACTAATTAAACTCAAAGGCTGACTTTTAATAAGGATTCTGAAAAACATAAGAAATTCGATTCATTAAATTTGCAAAAGAGAAAGTCTTTCTTGTCTTTTCTCCAAAAGATTAAAGTCAGCCCTCGTGTTTAACTCTCACCTGGAATGACTGAAATTGTTTTCAGTGCTCGGAGAACTCTGAATGTTCTCAACGCTGAGACATTGCCCAGGTCCACAAACTCTGTCACATATCTGCAGTGGGGGAGTTTATACACAAACACAGTGACAACACACACACAGACACAAAGGACAACTCCCAAATAGTTGGAGTTATGAGTGGCCTAATGCTTCACACCAATCACTTCTTACCTGGGATTACAGAAATAGTTTTCAAAGCTCTCAACACTCTGAAAGTTCGAAGAGCTGAAACATTGCCTAGGTTTACAAATTCTGTTAAATACCTGTAGAATTAAATCAGAGTCATTCAGAATTTAGATAGAGTCTATGATACTTACCTGCGCCTTTAGTCAAGGTATTTCCTGCATTTGGAAAGTCTTAAAGATATAGTTCTGCAAACCTTTTCTTTCCTACCATACCTCATCGAATTTAAATAGATCTCATTTGACATATTTGATGTGAGCAAAATGTAAATACATTATTAAAATGGTTTCATACACTTAAATGCCTAAATAAACAACATGCTTTAGGCATTAGATCTCAACATTATGGTTATATAGATATTTAATAATCTTATAAAACATCAGTGGCAAACCTGGGAAACTGTAAGCTAAGTGAAACAAGCCAGACCCAAAAGGCCACATAATATGTGGTTCCATTCATGTGACAAATCCATAGAGATGAAACATAGATGAGTGCCTTCCAGTAGCTGGAAGTGGGGAGGGGAAGGTTTAAATGGAAGTGACTGCTTTTTGGGGGTGATGAAAATATTCTGAAATTAGAAAGTGGTGATGGTTGCACAACTTTGGGAACAGACTAAGAACACTGAATTTTATACTTTAAAGGAGTAAATTTTATGGTATGTAGAGTCTATTACTATAATAAAGGAGACACCCCCTAAGAAGTGGCAGCCTTGACACAATGTTCTCTCGCCAGTTAGTGGTACCTACAACTGCAGTCATGTGTGATCATGAAAGGAGGGAACTTGATGGACAAGGAGGTGGGACAGGGGGTGAGGGAACCGGAGACCAGAAATCTTAAGACCCTTCGTTTTTGTCTAAGTTCTCTTAATGAACATTCACTACTCTTACATCAAAATGATAGAATCAAAAATATTCTATCTAGGTTTGAGATTTAAAATTTAAAAAAAAATGTTTCTGACATATTTTGGAAGAAAGTAACCATGTGAACAGATTACAATTATATGTTAATCTTTTTCTCCTGGAAAATAAACTGTGGATGCATGTGTAATGCATATACAATGCATTAAGGTTAGGTTTAATATGCAGTGACAGCCCTTATAAAATACTAGAGGCCCGGTGCACAAAATTTGTGCACAGGGGGCAGGGTGGGGATTGTCCCTCAGCCCAGCCTGCACCCTCTCCAATCTAGGACCCCTCAAGGGTCCCAGGATCAATCCTAAATGGGCAGTGTGACATCACTCTCACAATCCAGGACTGCTGGCTCCCAACTGCTTGCCTGCCTTCCTGATTGCTCCTAACCACTTCTGCCTGCCAGCCTGATTACGCCCTAACCACTCCCTTGCCAGCCTGATTGATGTCTAATTGCTCCCTGCCAGACTGTTTGCCCCTAACTTCCCTCCTCTGCTGGCCTGGTCACCCCTAACTGCCCTCCCCTGCATGGTTGATTGCCTTTTACTGCCCTCCCTTGCAGGCCTGGTCCCTCTCAACTGCCCTCCCTTGCAGGCCTGGTGCCTTCCAACCGCCCTCCCCTGCTGGCCATCTTGTGGTGGCCATCTTGTGTCCACATGGAGGCAGGATCTTTGACTACATGGGGGCAGCCATATTTTGCATTGGAGTGATGGTCAATCTGTATATAACTCTTTTATTAGATAGGATAGAGGCCTGGTGCAAGGGCGAGGGCCAGCTGGTTTGCCCTGAAGGGTGTCCCGGATCAGGGTGAGGGTTCCCTTGGGGCATAAGGTGGCCTGAGCTAGGGGACTGTGGTGGTTTGCAGGCAAGCCTCGCCCTCTCCCCCAGTGACCCAAGCGGAGGCCCTAGTATCTGGGTTATATTTACTTTCTACAATTGAAACTTTGTAGCCTGGAGCAGAGCCAAGCCTCCTGCTGGCTCTGTGGCAGCAGCTGTTTCTGTTTGGATTTCTTTATCTTCTATAATTGAAACTTTTTAGCCTTGAGTGGAGGCTTAAACTGGCTAGGGCAGGCGGAAAGCTTGGTTTCTTCCATTGCCAGAGAAACTCAAGCCTCCCTCTTGTTCTCTGTGGCCACAGCCATCTTGGTTGGGGTTAATTTGCATGCTTGCTCTAATTGGCTGATGGGTGCGACTTGTGGGTGTAACTTGTGGGTGTAGAGGAGTGATGGTTAATTTTCATATTACTCTTTTATTACATCAGATATTAGTGGCTTGGTGCACAAATTCATGCACATTGAAAAAAATTAATTAGAAAAATATTTTAATATTGAATTCGCCCTTTCTCTATAATAGAAGTGTCAACTAAATTCATGATAGACAATGACATATCAAAACACATGCATGCGATTGGCACCAGTGAGAGCCTTATATGGCTTTATATGTATCATGCACGTGTGATATCCTTTTATAGATATAGAACAAACTTGCTTAGTTAGACCTGCTTTCTGATTTAGCTAAACTTTTTCCAACCCAGTAAAGCACTCTAACTTCTCTTTCAGGTAATTGTTAGCAACACAGCAGTAAATAGCAACACAAAGCACATTATTATTATTATAGATCACACAGGGAGAGAGAACAAAGGGCAAAATATTTAACTGCAGCAGTGTTTGACTATTCTTCACAATGAGAAAACCTGAAGACATTTTCAAGATCCACTATTTCTTACTTCTTTTCAGTTAGGTTATATTTCTAAATTTTCAAAAAATCTCTGTTTTCTGGCTAATGAAAATAGGATTCCATTGAGTGTCATATCTATCTACTCCAGGACTTCTGTGAGGATCAAATGAGATGAGGCACATGGAAATACTTCATAGACATTTGGTTAAAGTGCAAAGTGTTTGCACTGACTATAAAGCAAGTCCTGTTCCTAGGCTGAAGAAACTGCAAGGAGGCTAGTTGTCGCTAGGGAGAGGTAGCTGCACATTGCTATGTGACATCATTACCAGGATGGAGGGAAGGACACTTAGCATATTAGCTATAGATAGATAGATAGATAGATAATTTTATATATTTTTAAAAATATATTTTTTATTGATTTTTTACAGAGAGGCAGGGAGAGGGATAGAACGTTAGAAACATTGATAAGAGAGAAACATTGATCAGCTGCCTCCTGCACATACTGGGGATGTGCCTGCAACCAAGGTACATGCCCCTGACCAGAATTGAATCTGGGACCCTTCAGTTCACAGGCCAATGCTCTATCCACTGAGCCAAACCAGTTAGAGTGATACTTCTATAATTTAATATACATATTAGCATTTTAACAGTATATATTAATAAAAAGAGTACTGTACTTATAATTAAAGACCTATTTTTTCCCTGTGATTCCAACAAGTTTTATTAGTTTTTAAGTAAGAGCTTGAAAAATGTATGAACTTAATTGGCACCACATAGACTGTCCATCCAAGTGCTGGGTGCAGAGGGAGATGATCAATCTTAATGATGTCATACACATTCAAGTGAGAAATGATCTTCCTATAAAAGTTAGTATTTTCCAACAAATGACTAGCTTTTATACAGTTTTATTTAAATATAAGCATTGTTCTTACTAAAATACTATGCTGTCTGTGATTTTCATGAGTTTGCTATTTGCAAAACTGAATGAGGTACTTACGCAAAAACAATGACGATAAAATCAAGCCAGTTCCATGGGTCACGAAGGAAAGTGAATTCTCCTACACAGAAGCCTCTTGCAAGGATTTTGATAAGTGATTCAAAAGTATATATTCCAGTAAAAGTGTACCTAGACACAAGAACCCATTGGGATGTTAAATATGAAAAAAAAATACAGCACTAGGTGAATGTTTATAATTTATTTTTTCCTGATTAATCAAGGGAAGGCATCTACTGCAGTGTGGCTCTTGGATTATGGACCCACTCTAACTATATATTAGAATAAACTAAGAGTCAAGGTCTTTCCCCCCCCCAAAAACAAAACAAAACAAAAAAAACACCTTAGAATGTCCATATCGGAAACTCTCCTAGATAACAGAAGTACTGAAAGTTACTAAGAACATAGGTTTAGGTATGACTGGAAAGTTCCTATGTTGATCCTATCAGGAATATAGCCAAGGATAAAAAAATATATATATATAACATTTCTAACAACAGGCAGAATGTCTCATACATTCATTCTTCTGAAAAAGACTGTATCATCTAATTATTCTTTTCTAAATATTCTATTCTACTGCTGTCAGGTGGAATAACATAAGAGAGAAAATAATAATAGAAAGAAAAGAAACTATATAACATGGGAAGATAAACAACACAATTTTTATAGATGGAACAACTTCCGGTAGGAAAAGGAAAGGATAACAATCATTCTAGTAAGACCATATTAAAATGTACATATACCCACTTACTCTACATTCTTGGCCCAGTCTGGAGGGTTACTCATGGTCATAAATATGCAGTTCGTGAGAATAGTGCACATGATAAGCATGCCGAACAAGGTAGCTTAGAGTCAAGGAATATAATGAACGACCATGGCAGGAATCTATTATCTACTTAATAAGAACACCTGTTGAAATATTTTTCTTAGAAAATAATCTATGCATATAAAAGCCTAAGCAACTGGCCAACAAGCTGACCAGCCAACTGGCTGGCAGCTATGATGTGCACTGACCACTAGGGGGAAGATGTTCAATGCAGGAGCTGCAGAGCAACAGCAACTTTGCAGAGTGCCCTCTTGCATTCTGGGACCTCTCAGGGGATGTTAGACTGCTGGTTTAGGCCCAATGCCTCAGGCCAGGCCAAAGGACCCCACTGGTGCATGAATCCATGCACTGGGTCTCTAGTTATTAATAAGTTTATAGACTTTGTAAAATCTCCTTGAACATGAGAGTAATAGGTCAGAGTAATTTACCCTTAGTTTTAAAAATGGCATTCTTTCAATCTCTCAGAGACCTATACCAAATTATATTAAAATGATAAACTAAAAACAGTCTTTTCAGGTACAAAAGGACTAAAAATCTATATTAAAGAAGAGAACAAAAACTACATTTTAAAGAACCATTGCAAGTAAGCATTTTTAAAAGGATATGAATGTACTAAAATCTTAATAGATATTCTTCTCAGAGGACTGAAAGGAGAGAGGATGTACAAAGCAGGTGTGGCATTGAAGCGGAAGATTGCTTTCCCTCTGTTCAATACTATGAAAGTCTGCAGGATCAAAAAGAAAACAGGATGAAATTGAGAATCCAAAACTTAGTACATTAATCTCAGCAATTTTCCTCTCTATGTGGTAGTGTCATATTAAAGTAACACTGCCATCAGGCTCAAGCAATGCAGTTCCAGTACCACTGAAACATCTACATGTATCATGCTGGCCAATGAACTGCAAGCCCATCACTTCTAAGCAGGTTAGGAAGTGAACTATTTATGAATATATGTTGCTTAGAGCACCCAAAATACAGTACCTTTTCTTTTTTATATCCCTTCAATATCCTCATCAGTAATAACTTGTGGCCATTGGACTTAGTTTAAAATACAACTTCCTTCACTAACTACACTGCATCATAAGCAAATCAATTAAAAACTATCTATTCCTGATTTTTACCATAACACCTTGAGACTTTCATTTTTTACAATATATTTTACTGACTTTTTTTTTTACAGAGAGGAAGGGTAGAGAGTTAGAAACATTGATGAGAGAGAATCATCAATCAGCTGCCTCTTGCACCACCCCCACTGGGGATGTGCCTGCAACCAAGGCACATGCCCTTGACCAGAATCGAACCTGGGACCTTTCAGTTCCCGGACAGACACTCTATCCACTGAGCTAAACCAGTCTCGGCAACACCTTGAGACTTTTAATCCTTGTTGGCTATTGTTATGGTTAGCAGAAAGTGCTCCAAAATACTAATTCCTTCAAAAAATATTTTCACAAATATTAGAGTTGGAATAATCCTACTACCTAGATCAATTTTTCTATTTTAGATGAAATACTAATAATAGCTAAAAATAAAAGGACACAAATTAAAGTGCTTGCTACTACCCATGGTAATTTTTTTTTTAAATGATACAAATAGAACTAAACATTCTTAAAACATTTAAAATCCAAATAAGTAACTAGCAGCAATAACAAAACTACTGTTTTTGGATTGAGAATCAGAAAGTCCAAGTTCAAATCCTTGTCTTACATTTCTGCACTGGCAGGCAAATTACTAGTGTTCACTAGAACACGTTGACTTGGTCTTTTTATTGTTGATACTTAATCTTCATTTTTTACAAGTTAATGAGTGGGCTTCTGGTAGTCAATATTTTTCTAAATTGGGGACATAAGTTTGAATATCTTGATGTTTAATTGCAAGTGACACTCTTCTCAAGAAAATGAATCTGAATCTATTATTTTTGGATGCCCTTTTAATATTCCTGGTTTCTTTCACTGTACGTTTTATGTCTAAACATAATTTAACATAAAGTTCACTTTTACATTGAAAATTAGTTTTAAAATTAATACCTAGTGTTTGAGTATGAGTACTGTTTTCTTAAATTTCAATATACCATGCTTAAAATTCATTCATCCATTATTTTCTACAATTGTGTAGTGAGCAACTATAGTGTAAGAGGCAATGAAAGGAGTTTGAACTTAAATGAGGCATAAGTTTTGCATTCAAGGAACTTTCTAGAAAGGCAATAGGAACATGATAACTCTAATATTTTAACGACAAGATGTGTTCCTGAATCATATAGAGAAATACAAATGGAGGTATATAAGAGCATAGAGGGAATAGGGTTATATGTCTGTCAGAATTATCCGAGAGATTTCTTGTCCTTATTCATTGCAATAGCCTTTCTCTCCTCAACTTTCTGGGTAATTTTATAAGATACTCTTTTCCCTTCTTCTTGAAACAATGGAAAGTTTTCTGATTTATGCCCTACCTCCTTGACCATCCCAGACTCCTCCTTCTCTCCAATACTGGAAATGAAGCAGCTCTCCAAACTTCATTATTAATTGAGCAATCTTCTATATCCCCAGGGAGTCAGCGGTCACCTCCACAAAATGCACTCTGGATACATCCCCATGACTTGTCAATTGACAGTTGTTTTGTTCCTACTGGTATGCATTTAAGGCATGTCCAAGAAGGAAGAACATTATACTGAACACTTTTAAAAGATGAAGGAAATCGCTGAAACCGGTTTGGCTCAGTGGTAGAGCGTCAGTCTGCGGACTGAGGGGTCCCGGGTTCGATTCCGGTCAGGGGCATGTACGTTGGTTGCGAGCACATCCCCGGTGGGGGGGGGAGGGTGTGTGTGCAAGAGGCAGCTGGTCGATGGTTCTCTCTTATCAACGTTTCTAGCTCTCTATCTCTCTCCCTTCCTCTCTGTAAAAAAAAATCAATAAAATATATTTTAAATAAAAGATTAAGGAAATCAAAATGGTAAGAGAGAACCAGTTTCAACAAAAAATTAGAAAAAGTAGATACAGTAGATATTCTGAATATCCTACATATGTATTTACTTGAATATTTTAGTCATGATGTGGATTTTCCCTCGATTCCACTCCAATTTTAACTCACTTTCCACACAGAAAGAGGCTGAGATTGCACCACTGCAGTCCCAGTGAACTCACTTTTTTGTCTGCATAGTAGGGGTCCAGGTCCTCCAGGGGCACCGACACCATGCCCGGAGGGATGTCCCCATAGATGAAGGGCAGCTGTTTGCCAGCTTCCAAGTCAGTGCTTGGCTTTGGGCCTTCTTCATGATCGTCTTTCTTTTCTTCCTTGGGTTCCTTTGCTTTACTTTCAGCAATGCGTTGTTCAATGAGGGCAAGAGACTGTTTTGTGAAGTAGACAAAGCTCTGAGGTCCTGGGGGAGGCAGCATTGCCATCTTTTCATCCTGTATATTTTATTTCCCCTTCAGCTCCTTCATAAGAGGCCTAAGTGGGAATTGAAAAATAAAGCCTTAAGTGTTTGCCAACCAATGATGGGACATCAAAATAATAGTAAGAACAGCAATCATTATTATTATTATTAATAAACCACCTTTTGGTTTCAACTTTAAAACATGATGTTCACATGTTAAATTATCAGCATGTTAAATCAGCATTTATTAAGTGACTATTATGTGCAACACATTTTCCATGCTTTCTAGCCACCTTTGTTTTAAAATTTGAACTTAACAATTCACTGCTTTTAAAGTAAAAAAGTGACAACTTGATGAAAAACAATGAATTTCCTTCATTTTTCATATGTATTCACTTTTAGGTGTTTCAACTCAACTCTCCTCACTTAAAAGACTCCATGAGAATGCTCTGAGAGCTCCACTCCCCAGCTTCTCCTCTTACCTCTCTGATCTTCTCATAACATGCTCACAAACCCTGTTTCTCTCTTGGGGAAACTCATTTCTATGAATGAGGTGGTGAAGACTGTTCTATTCTATTTTACACAATCTATTTATTTTATAATACATACATATCCCTTCACAAATCAGAAAAAATAAATTTCTGTTTTGAATTAAAAACAATTTGGGAAAATACTTTGCAAAGCACAAAGAAATTTGGGAAATGTTTGTGATTCAATAAAAAAAGTAAAAATAGCCCTAGAATATGCATTCAAACCATGACTTCCTTAATTAACCTATATATGAATACAAAACATTTAAAAAAAAAAACCTACAGAAAAAAATAGAATATTCACTTTTCTATATATTATTATTTTGGAATTTTCCAAATAAATAGCATAAAAATAGGTTATTTAAAAAAATAACAGATATTATTTCAATGCGTCAAGATACCTTCATAACGCCTGCATTAGAAAGTGAAAACTCTTTCTTTTTGGCATTAGGGTTGTCTGAGAATTGGGACACACTAACTTCCACCATGCCAACCCTCTGTGAACAGCTTGAAAGGCTGTATATTAAGTAACATCATCACATACAGAGGGAGGGTAAATGAAGAGGAGTCATAGTCTGCTTTTTTATTTTCCAATTATAATAACAAAAGGCTAATATGCAAATGGTCATCACACCATGACATGTGACCACTGATCAGCAGGGACCTGTGGCTTTGTGGTGCCTGGCTGGAGCAGGGACCTCCGGGTGCCTGACCACATCCGGGGAATCTCCAGCCATTCCCCCTACCCCAGTGCCGGGCAATGGGACCTCAGGATGCATCCCTTCACCTTAGCGCCGGGCCTAGGGACCTGAGGCTGTGCCCCTCACCCAGTGGGGCTTGATGGGATTGGGGCTAGCTGAGTCTGGGTCTTGCTCAATGGGGATGGGGTCAACCAGGTCTGAGTCTCAAGCGATTTCAAAATGCAAGTGTGGGTGGGCGAGGACTTGACTCTGGGTCCTGTGGCACAACCCAGACTCTGACAGGAGGGAGATTTTCATATACATTTCTCTAATTTCCTTTCATCTCTTACACTTCTATTATAGAGAAAGGGCAAATAAAAATATTAAAATATTTCCTCTAATTAATTCCCTTTTATTTTTATTTTTTTATTTTAATATTTTATTGATTTTTTAGAGAGGAAGGGAGAGATATAGAGAGTTAGAAACATTGATGAGAAACATCAATCAGCTGCCTCCACACCCCCTGCTGGCTGGGGATGTTCCCATAACCAATGTACATGCCCTTGACCTGAATCGAACCTGGTATCTTTCAGTCCTCAGGCTGACACTCTATCCTCTGAGCCAAACCAGTTTTGGCTAATTAATTCCCTTTTAATGTGCATGAATTTTGTGCACTGTGCCACTAGTATAAATATAAAAAGTAAGGGGATCACAGTAGTAACAACATTACAAAAGATTTTGTAAAATACGTTTTAGAAGCATAAATGAATTATTATTTTCAAAGTTTCTCCTGTACCCATGACAAACAAAATAGAGTTCATGTATATTTAGAAAAAAAAAAATAGGTAATTTCCCCCTTAATTATTTGAGCAGAATATATCAGTATAAACCCTTTAACAGAAATGTATTCAGTTTAAAATGAAACAATAAATCAATTTAAAAATAACCAGTTTAAAAATTAATCATTTTGTAATGTAATGATCTGCTTTAAACTTTATAAAGTTGATTTGGCTTTCTGGAAAAAAAAAAAAGCTCTTTTTATGATTTATCACACAATTGAGTCTGCCTCTTGCCTTGGTATGTATCATTACATTTCTTTTTAAATTTGCTAACCCACCTTCATTTGCAATGTTTTTACCAAATTCTTAATCTGGGTATATTATAATATAAGATATTTAGAACTACTAAAGAGAAAACACTGTTTTTGTCTTGAAGGAATTTAGATTCTAAAAAGGGATACCAATGACACCAAATCATTCAGTAAAGACAAACCTGATTTCTCTGTGGTAAAGAAGAATATAGCCAAAATAACTCTCACTTTTTTATATATATCCTGATGCAGAAATGGACAGAGATATAGAGAGTGGTAACAGAAGGAGGTGAGTTCCTCTGACTTAAGCATAAGTTCTTCTGTATATATTTCTGATATAAATTCCTGGGTTCTTTTATCAGTTTTTCCAACAGCGGAGAGCTACAAGCCTCTTATAAGTACTTAGATATATATAGCAACATTTCATGGGAGAGAATATGTTAAAAGCCATGCAATGACATTTTTGGAAATAAGAACAGTTATAGATTTAGAATTATAGACTTTTGTAATTATGAACAAAGAATAACTCAGTCTACCTGATAGCCACAAGCAATTGATATTGCTTGTTGACATAATTCAATAGTTAACTGACTATATGTTTGCTGGTTTGTCCTTAGTTTTAAGGTATTTTACTAACATTATTAACTCCATTATTTCTTTGTTTTTGTTTTATTGGGATGACATTAGTCAACATGAACATATAGATTTCAAGTGTGGATTACTAACTTACAAAATCTGTATATAGGACCATGTGCCCACCACCAAAAGTCACTGAAAGGGTACCAGTTACTCTCCATCACCCCACCAACCAACCTCCAGCAAATAATAATCTACTTTTTATGTCTATAAATTCAACACGATTAAGAGCAGACATATATTTCAATTAAAGCTAAAGTTGAGGTGACTTTCTAAAAATAATGTAGATAAAAACAAGAGACATTCCACTACTGGGTATGTGCTCAAGAGAACTGAAATCATATGGCCTCACAAAAAAACTTATACATGAATGTTCATAATAGCATTATTCATAATGGCCAAAAGACTGGAACTCAAATGTCCATCAAGTGATAAACAGGTAAAGAAAATGTGGTGTATCCACATCATGGAATATTATTTGATAATAAAAAGAAAGTATGATACATATTGAAACATGAATAATACATAAAAGATACATAAGAATGATATATATAAATATAAAATATACATATTAAAACATGAATGAACCCTGAAAACCCTGTGAGAGAAGCCAAACCCAAAAAGCCACATACTGTATGATTCCATTTGTTTGAAATGTCCAGAATAGGCATATCCTCAGAGACAAAAAAAGTAGATTATTATTTGCTGGAGGTTGGTTGTGGGGTGATGGAGAGTAACTGTTAATAGTTATAAGGTTAGTGGTGAATGGGAATAGGGTTTCTTTTGGGAGGTGATGAAAATGTTCTAAAATTAGATAATGACAGTGGTTGCACAACTCTGTAAATATACTAAAAACCACTGAATGTACACTTTCAAGGGTGCTTTTTATGGTATAGAGACTACACCTCAATAAAACCTACGAAGATAAGCTAAAAATGGAATCATAAAATATGTGAAAATTGTCTTGAGAAGTGGAAAAAAAAGTTTATTAAAATGGAAACAAATGCACATACTCAGTATCAACCATCTGAGTCTCTACAGGCTCAGCAGAATATGGAATTACTTTTGGTTTAATATTAATTCAAGAGAAGCTAAAGTTTAGCTCTAGCACTCAAAGGCTAAGCTTGGGACAGTTTATAAAACTTTGGTCACAAACCAGATAACCTGATTCCAGAAGTTAGGAGCCTTTTAGAAAGTGTACATCCACCTGAGAAATAAGGCAGAGAGTGCAGTTGCCAATTGGGCTTAGAAGATTTTCAACACTTTAGAGATCATAAAGGAGAGTAGGAGAGATTACTTCCCTCAACGGACCCTTTCATTGTTCACAGGGTTAATCTCCTGGAGAAAAGATGGCTAAAGAATTATATATCCTGCATTCAAGTGGAGAGTGTCACTTCTTTCAAAAATTATTTGACAGAAATTCAGGTAAATATGTCCTGAACTCAATTGTCCAAACAGCAGTTGCATTCTGCAGTGTTCCTATTCCCTTTTCCCCTCCCTTTCTTCCCCTCAATCTCTCTGTTCACTCACATTCTCAATATACAGTTTGTGAATCTCTGAAGTAGGTATAAATATTGGGGGTTGCGGTGATGGGTGCCAGTGGTACTATGCATGGGATATATTTTCCTGATCAGGCTAAAGTAAAGGAAGACTCTAAACACTTGCTTACTATTAGGGTCTTTGGAAAGTAAGTTGAAGAGACCCTGATCAGAGTCTGCCATCATTCTGGAGGGTATAGGAAAAATCATTACCCCCTATCTGGCTGATGGGAATAAATAATGTGTACCAACTTTTTTTTTAGTGTAATTTCACAATACCCATAAAAAACCTTAGCTATGTTGATTCATTTATATTGCCAAATGATTTCCCTTCTAGGAATTTATACAAAAGCAATAATATCAGATGTCCTCCAACATTTCTGAGATGTTTACTACAATGTTTTTATAATATTGAAAAATTGTAATTGATCCAAAAATCTAATATTCAGGGTTTCATTAAATTAAAAAAATGAGCAAAAATGAAAAACTGAGCAACTCAGTAGCCTCTAAAGAGTGCTCCCAATGACTAGTAAATGAATTCTAAACAAAGTTATAATGGGTAATTAATGGAATGCAGGTTAGATGAACACAAACATACTT